GGTGATGCAAATCAAAACCACAGTGAGCTACCACTTCACACCTACCAGAAGGACCATTTTACATATATGTGTGTATATATATGTATATTTATACGTGTGTGTATATCTATATACACGTATACACACACACACGGCCATGTATGGCTTAATGACAGGATATATTCTCAGAAATACATCATCAGGCGATTTGGTCATTGTGCAAACATCAGGGTGAACTTACACAAACGCAGATGGTACAGCCTACTACACATCTAGGCTATAATGTATGGCCTGTTGCTCCCAGGCTACAAACCTGCACAATATGTTACTCTACTCAACACTGTAGGACACTGTAACACAACGGTGTTCTGTAAACCAAAGAGATGTCTAAATCTATAAGACAACATAATCACGGATTTTTTTGCAGCCACAGCTGCAATTTTAACCCCAGTACGTGACAACTGTGGAGAGCTCCCAGAACGAGGCCAGCACAACTCCACCTTCTGGGAAAAACCAAGAGCCATGGTCCCGAAAGAAATTATGAACCTCTTACTGACCAGGTTTGCTACTGATTGTATTAAAAGCACTAGCTTTTAGTAAGACGCCTGTGTTCACAGATCCCAGTAAATGATGCATTGCTTGGTGTGTTTTAAAGGTCAGCATTGAAGAGCCAGCCAGAATGAGGAGGCAGAATCAGAATCAGGTGATGAGCGCTACACTTCTAGGTAACAGCCTGCACTGCATGCTCTTGCAGGCCCTTCCATCTTCCAGAGTTACATATGCTTAAAATTAGGACTATTACAAAAATCCAGGCTTAAAACTTCCATTTTGTACTGGGCAAAAAGCCTGGCAATTAAAAATAACTTGTTATCTTTGAAACTGGAAGGATGCCTACAGGCACTGCTCATAGCAACCTAAGGTTAAGTCATCTTAACATTAACCCATTTATGAAGAAACACCTACAGATCACAGAGCCTAACCATGAAACCCTGGAAGCAATTTTCACTTTGCTCTGACAATCTGCCTCCTTCCAATTCACCAGCAGAAACACAGCAAGTTTATTTTCAAACTCTAAACAGTAAAAAACAAAAAAACCAAAACCAAAACAAAACAAAAAACCCCAAAACACTCAACAGAAATACGCTTCAAGAGATAAATTCCACTCAACAAAAGCTATAGTTCTAAATGAAGGTCAGCTTTGTGACAATAGTTTTATAATTTTGGAAATGTAGTATTATGCAGAAATGGTTTTAATAACAGTCGCAAGAATGTATCAAACCACCAGGAATGCATCATAGGGATCAAGAGTTTTCAAAGTGTGGTCCCCAAAGCAGCAGCATCACCACCAAGAAACGTGTTATTAATAGAAATGCAAATTCTTGGGCCCCAGACCTCCTGAATCAGTACCACTGCAGGTAGGACCCAGCAATTTCTGTTTTAACAAGCCTCAAGGCGATTCTGATACACAGTACACAGTTTGAGAATCATTATTTAGAGAAATGGAATGATGACATTGCCTGCAAATAAGAGTTTTGGGTAGAAGTTATAATTTCTATAAGAAATATAACTTTGAAAATACAGAAAGGAACTATTCTACTTAATTTCCTGGCCAAACTCTTTTAATGTATTTTTAAAAAGAGAAATGAAACATCCATTGACTTTTAGTATGGCCAATATGTGCATTAAATTATCCTTAGCAGGAGAGTTTTTCTCTATTGGAAACAAATGTATTGTATGACAATATTAGTATCTAATATTATTGCAGGACACAATAAATACATGACCTCTTCGGTATCTAAAATCTTACAGAGGAAAATGGCTTCCCAGACTTGTGGCTGATGCTGTCCAGCAAGTTACCCAGGCCAGCTGTGCACCTTTTCCAACCATATCCTAGTTGTGATCTGTCACTTTCTGAACAACCTTTACAAGGATGGGGGATGCAGCAATTAATAAAATACTGACAACTTGTACAGTTTACCAGAAACCCAGTAAAGGGTTACTGTTCATTTTAAGTACAGCTTTCTAGTCACATCCATAGCATCAATGTGGACAAAATATAAAAGGATTTATGAGGGACACACACAGGGTGAGTAGGATTTCTGAGTTTTCTGGATTTAAGCAGGTATAGCTCACAGCTGAAGGTATGATAATGAAATATGGAGAATAAGTACCAACAATATATCACCTTTAGCTGCTAAGGATAAACGACAATTGTAGATGAGAGAGGAGAGCGAGGGAGGAAGAAGAAAGGGAAGAACAAGCAGCAGGCACTGAAGTTCAGGACAGGAAAGAGGGCCCAACAGGTTCGTTCATTTGTTAGTTCACTGATTCATCTAACATATCCAACAGATACTTCTGAAATACCCAGCACTTACTGATAGTGGATAGCGCAGGATGTGGCAATGTTTGTCCTCCCTGAAATAAGCACCTCTCAATATCATCAAGCAAGGGTCTAGCTCATTTACACTGCAGTCACTCAGGGTATTTTAAAAACTGATACGCATGTTGAAGATCCATTCCAAAAGAAACAGCTGTGCTTACCCAGAAGCCAGGCTTCATGTGTTAACCTCAATGAAAGGTCCAGGCCCAAAGATTCCAAGAAAAAAGGAAATTAAATGAAGATGCCTGCCTCTGAGTCCTGCAGGGAGGCTGAACCCCTCAGAAACCTTTCCATCCTGGCATGCTGTGAAGGAATTATGTCAGACCATGAACCTAAGGGCTCTTGGTGGCCTGGTGGTGGCTGTGAAAGCCAGCTCTAACCTGAGAAATGGCAAAATGAGCAGGGAAACACATGGGGATGGGGGGAGGCAGCGGATGGTGGGGAAAAAAAACAAGCAAAGGACTTGTCCACTTGTCCACCAGGACAGGTCCCCGGCAGTCACAGATGACAGCTGAGAACAGCCTTGGTCACGAACAGGAAACGCAGCAAACCTGGCCGGGTTCTGCGGTCAGGAGAAAAGAAGCCACACACCTCAGGGCTCTTGTAGAATCCCCGTGGCACAAGGCATGCACACTAACCGCTGAAAATGGCCTGTGTCACGGCAAGATCCATCAGGACAAGCTGCCCTGCACAGCATCAGGCCACGTGGAGCCTCAGACCAAGACGGTGCTGCTATGTGTGCAGAGCCGATGCAAGTGCCAGTAAAGCCCTTTCCACGCTATATTCCTGGAATCATACATGTTGCTCCTTGACTTTCTAAGTTAGGAGAGAATGCAAAACATCTTGAAAGGCCCCCAATTAAAAAATTGTTAAAAGGAAATACAAACAATTAGTGCTTTCGTACTTTTGAAAAAGTTAACTCATTCTCTAACAACGCAAGGCAACTGAGACAGTGGGGTGTAGGGTTCTGAGATGAAACCCAGCCAATGCATGCATCCCTCCTTATCCAAAGGGATCTGGTCCCTGAATTCAGACAACAATGACCACCTGTGCATGTTCCACAGAAAAGCCATAGGTCCTCCCTAAGGCCAGCAACCCTGGAGAACACCTTTTTCATCTACTCTCTAAAGTCTTCCTTCATCTCCCCAAATCTTAGGCAGAAAGAAGAACGCCTGGGAGCAGTGTCTCCACACTACAGGACTTCCTTCTGAGAAGTCTCTTCCAACTCAAACATTGTAAGCCAAGATCATATTTTGTGCATTATACTTAGCCCTTAAGGACTCTGGACCAAGCACTTAATATTGTAATTGGTTTCCCAGCACTTTCTCTAAGTTTCTGCTCGATTGAGTTAAAAGCGCTGCTGTCCTTAATTTGCTTAAGGCTTCAAACCCGATCTAAAGGAAATGGTGCACAGAGCTCTCGTCATGTGAGAACAATTAATTCAATGTGATGTCTTGCCAGGAATGATAAACTCTGGTGACTTGATAAGAAAATCTCAGAGTTCAGATTTCAGATGAAGTTAGCTTTCAGGCTGGCATTCCCGTCCAAGCACATCTAAGGCTCCGCAAAACTGATGACACCACAAAGGAGTCCAGTTTCCACCACCACGATGCTCCTTCCTCAAAGAGGAGAAGATCCCACTTGCCTCTCTCTGGAGGGCTTTGAATGCCTCTCTGATCAGTCAGCAGCACTCCTGAATGCCCACTTACTTATTGTGCCAGCAACCTTTTCAGAGCACAGCAGGGGCAGCAGGTAGTACATACTTACTAGTCTTACAGTGTGCATTTAAAAATGAAATTGAAGCCTACTAGAACCAATACAATTCAAATACATCAAACTCTATCTCCTAAATGCTTGTTTTGGAAGTCTCTCGATTGTAGAAGGTGTATTTGTAAAGACGTTTGCAAAACTGGTCGAATATTTCCTTCACACACGAAAAGGCTGCCTTCTGGGATGCAGGCTCCACCCCCACGTCTGAAACTCACTGCCCCCAGCCTGCCCACCCCTGGAAGTGGGTCTGCTGCCCCAGTCCAGTGGCTTCATATCTCCCACTCACTGCACACACACAAAACTCATCTCTCTCAAGAACCCTTGTTTTCTTTTCAATTCATCTCGTAAGTGCTTTAAAAGCTTTTCAGAGATGAACTCAGTGGCGCTGCCTGCCGTGGCAATGACCTTGGGATTATACGGTTTACAAAAGAGAAAGCAAGCAAACAACAAAAGGCGGTGTCAGAAACCGGCCACCAGTCTTGCAAAGATTGCTTTCTCTGGGAAACAGACCGAGTAGAAACAAAGTAAATCACTCGGGCCTTCTACGTACACACAATGGGCAACCAGGAGAGAAAATGACGTTTGAGTCCGTAAAATACAAGAGGGGGAATCTTCGGAGAGAAGCAGAACCACCTTTGTCAGCTACAAACATTTTTTCAGTTAACCTCCCACCTCCGGAAATGGGCACCCACGATCCCCAAAACAGATGCAAGGAAATCACGGAGTAGCAAACATTACACTAAATTGCATTCATCTGCATCTCCCGCCTTTCTAGTGTACTCACACAATGTGAAATGGGCTCGGCACACAGAGCCACTGTGCAAGGCGCATTTATTGCCTCCAGCCAGAGCTGCGGGCGCAGCGCACTTACCGAGGACTCGCTGTCCCTAATGAGGAAGTCACCCTCCACGCCCCGCTCGTTGAGGGCGCACTCGGCCTGGTGCCGCGTCACGTTCCCGTAGTACCACTCTCTGCCCGCGAAGCGCCCGCTGGACGAGGGCCCGGTGTAGCTTATCTGTGGGGCGTGCGCAGGGTGCAGGGCAGGCCCGTCACTGAGGACCACCACGTAGTTTTTGGGGACGAGGCCCACCTGGCCCCGGGCATTTTTGCATTTCCACCACTCGGGGTCGTTCTCGGGCTTCTCGATCACCTCCATGGTCTCCCCCTTCTCGAAGTTGAGCTCCTCCTCGGTGACTGAGCTGAAGGGGTACAGCGTCTGGACCACGTGCAGCACGCGGGAGCCCTGGCCATTGCTCAGCGAGGCGCCCTTGCGCAGGCTCAGGAAGCTCGGGGACTCCGCAGCTGCCTCGTCCACCTCCTCCAGGACGTAGTTGGAGGGGAACCAGCCGATCTGCCCGTTGTAGCTGCCCCGCCACCAACCGTCGCTGCACTTCTCCATGACGGTGACACGCGACCCCTTCACCAGGGACAGCTCATCCTCCCGCTCGGCAACATAGGCGAACTTGACAAAGGCCGGGATGTTGAGGTCGTAGATGCGGTCGGCGCTGCTGCCATTGGCGGGGTACTCAGCATCCGTGCTGGGCGTGGGGGACGCGTCCCGCGCGCTGGTCTTCCTGCGCGTCTTGCCAAGGCCTGTGGAGACACAGCAAGGCTCAGTGGCGCGGGGCACTTGGGCACCACCCCACTCCCTAGTCTACCGGGATTTCCACGCAGTTTCTCTGGTGGTTAAATACAAGGGGACACATGGACAGTGCTTACAAACTGTAATTACCATCAGAAAAATAAGGTTGCTGGCAGCTGCCTCCTGTAGTTGTGAAGTTACTTAAAGTTGAGAACTACTTAAACTGATCTATTTTACCCATAAAAACGTCACAGGGCCAGCACGGTGGCTCACGCCTGGAATCCCAGGCTTTGAGAGGCCCAGGCGGGAGGATTGCTTGAGGCCAGGAGTCTGAGACCAGCCTAGGCAACATAGCAAGACCCTGTGTCTGCAAAAAATTAAAAAAAAAAAAAAAATTAGCCACCTGTGGTGCACATCTATGGGCCCAGCTACTGGAGAGGCTGAGGTGGGAGGATGGCTTGAGCCAGAGTTCCAGACTGCAGGGAGCCGAGATCGCTCCACTGCACTCTAGCCTGTACAACAGAGTGAGGTCCTGTCTCTAAAATCAAACAAAACCAAAAAATGCGGAAGTACCACTGACACAAAAGATAACGAGAAGAGTAGAAGGTTTCCTTCTGAAATAACCGTTTTTAGAGCATCCCTGTGCCTCTGAAAAAAATAAAGTATAAATGCAGACAAAATACCTTTTTCATTCCTTGAATGGGTGGGAAGTCAGACTAAATGAATTCAAAGACCCGTTAGAACTCTTAAGACCGTCCAGTCTTAGGGAGCACAGTTTGCATAACCTGCCCTGCCCCCAGCTGCCTTGCCATTGCCTCCTCCACTCCTGGGACACTTACTGCCCTCACCCCTCACCCCTGGACAGCATGACAGCCCTAATGGGCAAAACCCATCATCTTCACCTTTCTTCTCGTCTTACAATTCTTCTCTTCTTTCAAAACAGCAGACTAATTTCCCACAACAGATTGTGATGAGTGCATTACGAAAACTTAGCTGATAGCTTAAATCGAAGACACAATTTTTCATACTGTGATTCAAAGCCCACTAGTGGATCATAAAAACCACTTTAATGGGTTGCAACCAGCCTACAGGTATGTGTTGAATTTAAGGGAATAAAGTAGAAAATTTCAGTGTATCGAACACAATTACAGTAAGTACTGTTTCTTCAGTCACACATGTGAGTATTGAATCAGAATGGGAAACATTTCTTCCTGTGCGTGATGAAAAATGCTAGAAAGGCCCTAAGGTAAAAATGTTTTAACTGTGTTAAAGTGCATGGAATTCTGGAACATTCTACGAAAGGAAAGCATGTCAGCCCCAGAGTTGGGGACACACCCCACACAGGCAGGCGTGGCCTTCCTTAGCTGTCCTAAGAGATGAGTGCTCCCACCACAGCTCTGCTTTGACCTCTGTCTTAACCAGTGTGGAGGATTAGTCATTTGTAGACTCCTCAAAATGACTTCCTCAAAGCACTTCCATGGGTAGCTTCTTGTACCTCTTTCTCCTTTTCTTCCTTAAACTAGAATAAAGGGGGATCAGTCCTAATAATTACTTGTGCTTCTATCGCCTTGCTGAGTGGGCAGGAGGTCAAGAGGGGAAAAAGGCTGATTGTCCTCAATGGTGGAGAGCTGGGCTGCCGCCCCCCTGGGGCAGATCGGCCCTGCCCAGCAGCCACTGCCCTAGGACGTGCACCCACGCAGCACCGGGAGGCATGTGAGGCCACATACGTTTCAGAGCACATACACTGATTCATTTATGCTAATGTCCTCTGACGTTTCTCTTTGTACCACTTTTTATTCACGTGAATGGGAGACACAAGAGTAAGCCAGAATGTTAGAACAGGTGAAACACTTAGATTTCTACTTTGGGTTAACTCACATTATATAAAAGCATAAACCTCCAAATCTGAGAACTCATCCTTTCATGGGATTTCAAACGCAGGATGGTTCAACTACACAATGAGAGCACCATAATAACACTACAGCTCCACAATCCGGAAGGCAGGCCATCCATGAAAGCGAACTTTTTCTGTCCAGAAGGCAGTGGTGCCCGAAGCTCAACCAGGAAGGCCTTACGGCCTTATCAAACAGCTAGCAAGCTGGGACCACGGGGGCCAGGCTGAGGCCGACTTTTATTGGCAACAATGATGTCAAGAAATAACAATGAACAATAAACTTTTAATGGACCTTTGCAAACATGTAACTTCCAAAAGCTATTTGAGAAAAAAACGCCTGTGGAAGAGCAGGTTTCGGAATATTCATCAGGCCATGAAGATAAAGGTGACAAGATCAGCAGAAAAGACATTAGAGAGTGGCCACCACAATATGTTATACAGACACTTTATAACTGATACATGTATATTCTACTTTAGTGACTTCTTTCAAAAACAAAATACGGTAATTTAAATTAATTAATACAGCCACTGAGTTCCTGAAACATACCAGGCACCAACCTAGACTTTGGTGGGGGGTGAAATGAGCAGACAAGCATGCTTTCTGCCTGCACAGAGCTTTTACCTGGAACACTGTACATAGCAAGCATGCAGCAGCAATTTTAACCTGTTTTGCTCGAATGTGATCTAAGTAGTCTTTGGGGCAACTCAGAGGGTCAGTGCAGACTGACAGAGAGCTGCATGCTCTTGGTCAAATTACTTAATAAATGTCTGTGTACTGATTTTCTTACCCCCCAGGATGTGAACATGTTAGTCTGCTCAGGCTACCATAATAAGTACCACAGACTGGGTGGCTTAAACAACAGACATTTATTTCCTCACGGTTCTGGAGGCTGGAAGTCCAAATCAAGGTGCTGGCAGGGTTGGTTCCTTGCAAGGCCTCTCTCCTGGACTTGCAGATGCTGTCTTCTTCCTGTGTGTCTTCACATGGTCTTCCCTCTGAGTGTGTCTGTGTTCCAATCTCCTTTTTTATAAGAACACCAGTCAGACTGGATGAGGGCCCACCCCAGTGACTTCATTTTAACTTAATCACTTCCGTAAAGGCTCTATTTCCAAACACAATCACCTTCTGAGGTCCTGGGGATTGGGACTTTGTATGAATTTCAGGAAGATGCCATCTGGCCCATGACAGGCACCGGCATTCAGCTGATGCTATAAAGCACAGGAAGTGCTCTGTGGATAACGACGATTACTCTTATTAACTAAGCTGTGGCTTTCTTGTTGCTCTAAATGGTATTTTACCAAAAGAAGGCCAAAGCCCTCTTTAAAAGCACTTGGTCATCTTCCTATCAGTGTCAGATGGCCACCAAAACAGAAAGCCTGCCTGCCAGACTTTGCCACCTGGGAAGCAAACGCTCTTGCATGGGAGCAATGCTGTATGTAGCTGCTGGTGCAGTGAAATTCAAGAGGCAGGTGTCTGGGGATGGAGAGGGACCTGACTTTACTGACACCTATGTTATCTAAACCCTCACAACAGTCCTGTGACAAAGTGGGCAACTTCTTCATTCATGGAAATGAGGAAACTGAGGCTACAAGAGGTCAGGAAATTGGCCCAACACACCCAGCCAATGATGTGGCACAGACTGCACACCCAGTAAATCCCCATTCAATCCATAATAGTCAAGAAGCATAGTTCTGATAGTGACTGGCGTCCAGCATGGTTTCTATGGAAAGCATTATCATCTGTAATATGATTTCTATGGGAAATGAAACTAGGACTCTGAATTGGTGTGCCACTCCCTCCCTGTCCGCTTGCACGCCCAGGCGAAGATAAACCTTTTCTCTTTCTCTACAGAATGAACAGGCCCCTGTGTCTCCAGATGGGAGAGGGGCTGAGGTTCAGATAATGAAGATTTTGGATAAGAAATGTAATACCAGTGACAGGCCAGGGCCCCAGAACAGCAATTAACAGGTCTTGGCAGGCTGGAGGGGTACTGTGTGGGAAAGACGTCAATGGGACCAAGTTGCTGGGTTGCTGAGAAAGCAGGTCCCTTTCCTTCCCTGCACCCTGATCCTGCCCAATGGCCAGAGCCAGGGTCATCTAGAACAGAAGGGATGGGAGACCCTGAATGCTGGCATATGAAGATTTAATGTGCTCAGTCCTCCTGACTGCTAAGGATACCAGAGCAAGAAAGCTGTGGCCAGGGGGAGGATGCCTGGGCAAGGTGTCTCAGTGGCAGGAGGGGGAGTGGGAAGAGAAAAATGCACCAAGAGTGCAGGTGGCCTTTCTGTGTGAGGATAATTAAGTCAACTGCAACCCTAGAGTCAGGAGAGCCTTTACATGGGGGCAGGCTCGGGGGACTCAGTGATCCCTCGTCCTTCTCCTCTTGCCTGGACTTCACCTGGAGCTGTGACCCAGCCAGGTGACAGCCAGGACATCTCAAAGGGAAGATTTCTGCTGCAGAACAAACAAGGATTCATGTGCGCCTGGGAGACGGGAGCACTGCAGCTGTGTGTCCTGACCGAGGGCAAGTCCCTGAGTGGTGCAGGCTCTAAGCGACCGCCTCTCTCTAATTTGAAGGCAAACTCATTACCTTGTAGGTAAAGAGGCGGCACCGGGATCCCAGTTTCCTTTCATTCTCTGTGTGTAGTTTTTCTACACATCTCCGCTTCATCGCCTCATCCTTCATTAAAGTAAAACCACCTACTGCTTTCAGTTGTAACAGAGGCACAATTTGCACTCCAATGTGTGTTTATTTTAACAGGGTAACACGATTTTTTTCTCACCGAATTTTACATATTTTCTCCACAAGACAGGCAAATCCTCATACCCACTTCTCAGACTCGGCCTGTCTTTAGCTACCATAATGAAACCATAGCCAACCAGAATACGGCAGACTGGGAGCCCTCATCGTCCAGGGCCCCTGCTCACTCTTCTATTTTGGAAGAGCGCATTCGCCGGCATGTCCCTGGAGACTGCTCACCTTGGGGTCAATAGTGAACTCCAAAGCAGGCCAGGTGGATCCTTCAGGCAGATGTGAGGTAGGCGGGTCCTCACCCATGTAGAACACCCAGTTTCAATGCCTCCCATCCTGCCCTGACCGAGGGATGGTGTGCGGT